AGACAGAGTCTTACTTTGTTGCCCTCGGTAGAGTGCTGTGGTGTCACAGCTCACAGCACAGCTCCTGGGCTTAGGTCATTCTCTTGCCTCAGCCTCCTGAGTAGCTGGGACTATAGTCACCCACCACAATGCCTGGTTACGTTTTTGTTGCAGTTTGGCTGGGGATAGATTCGAACCTGCCTCCCTTGGTATGGGGGCCGGCGCCCTACTCACTGAGCCACAGGTGCCGCCCAATTTTTTTTTTTTTTTAATCAGGATGTTTGGGTACGTCTTCCTGAAGAAGGAAATACCTCGAATGAAGCTTGTTAAGTGAACAAGAGCTGGTCAGATGGAGAAAAGTAGCAGGGGTATACCAGATAGTCGGAACAGACTGAGGAATTGCCGAGAGGAATAAGATACCAAGGCGGGGTTAGAGGTGGAGGTCCTCTCCAGAGATAGAACATAAACAGTTGGTTGCCAAAGCCTCAAGTCCAAGGCAAAGAATGGCAGAAGATAAAAACCAGAAAGATAAGCAAAAGTCTCAGCAGGATAAACAGAAGTCTTAACACAAGGAGCTTATGTGCCATGTTAAGAAGTCCGAACTTTAACCACTGGGCGTGGGGGATTTGTGAAGATGCCAGCCAGAGAACAGTAACTTAGATTTTATGATCAGGATAAACTCTTCGTTCCTCTCAACTGAGTGTCTAGCCTGGTGATTTTCAACGACAGAAATTTTTAAAGATCATTAATTATTTTCAAAAAGAAGGTCAAAGCCCAGTAAGTATATTCCTTTTTTCACTCTTTGTTTTTTGATCAGCATAATTTAAGTGTGCCACGGAAATGTATAGGTTCAAGTGTGCTGTGAGATTAAAAAAAAAAAAAGGTTGTAAACAGTGGTCTAGCACACGGAAGGTATTCAATATTTTTTTAAATTAATAAATCCTTACTTTGACAACATAGGAAATCAGAGAGGATTGTTTAGACTTTTAAAATAATGGAGAAATGGCTTAGGGAGTCTTTTTAATAGAATAAAAAGCCCAAGAGCTTCTGATGCTGCCGCTTTATTCATTCAGTTATTGTTCATTTATCAGTCATTCAGCAAACACTAGAACACTATGTGTCCAGTGTTACGTGTCGAGACCTGGGGAGCAAATGTGAAGGAGACAGGGTTCCTCTTTCCAGAAGGACTGAGTCAGCATAGGGTCCACACACACACACACAATGATATAGCTGGTCAGTGTTATAAAAGATACGTGTGTAATCGGTATATAAAATGTGCTGAGGAATTTGCTCTACATGGAGGAGCAGAGAACGGCGGACCCTTGAAGAACAACTGTGCAAAGATACGACAGCTACATAAACGCGTCAGGACAAAATCAAAATGCCAGTTTTTCCGTCCAAGATCATGTCTTTATCTCAGAGAGGCATTAGCACAGCACACTTTCAGAATCTTTGAAAAGCTCGATACTGCTAATTTTTACCTTCAGTAGAGAATATACCTTAAATCTTTCTCTAAAAAGTTTTTCTTCTCTTTCCATTCTGTGCTTTTCTAAGTTTTGCTTCTTGGTTTTGAAGAAAATTCTAGAAGATAAAACAAGAAATACTCAGGTTAAATGTACTATAGTAAGACTCTGAAGTTTCCAAGACTACAGAGTTCTTCCATTTCAGGGTAAATTCAGGTATAAACTTTTTGCATATAATTTTATACAGAATTATATATAAAGTCATGTATCTATGTGTGTGTATAATGTGTTCACACAAACACACGCATATCTCCACTAGAGCAGATGGTCAGAACAACTGAACAGGGTACGTTATATAAATTGCTTTCCTCCACAATTAAAAAATGTTTCTGATAGTAAGATAATAACTTGGAATAAAAGAGAATTGGTTAAACAACTTAGGGTAGACAAGAAACTTCTCTGAATTAGGCTTAGAAGCATAATTAACTTGTTTTTAAAAAAAAGGAACTCCAGAAAAATCTATAAATCTTACCAGCTTTAGACCATTTCATGGAAACCAGTTACGAATCCATAAGGGGCTGACATTTTGTGGTTTTCCAAGTTTTAAAACCTAATTGGGGAACCACAGATCTACCTGGCGCCATCAATGCGCCGTCTCATTTGCTCAGTGATTTGAGAAATGGATAGAGTTAAATAAAGCAAATGCTCCAAACCATAGGCAAGGATTTCAGCGCATAACCGTGAAGCAGAAGCTAATTGGTTTGCTTCTGTCTTAGCAGTTTAATGTTTACAGAAGGAAAAATGTCAACCAAGCTCCGTCTTATTTTAAAGTGTCTCCTACATCATCTGTTTTGTTCTTTCCACCATTACAGCCACTGCCTCGCTCAGACTCATGACACAACTTCTTGCCTGAAGTACCCCCTCCCTCTTGCCTCTTCTTCCTTGAATCCATCTGTACCTCTGCCTCCTGAGTCATTTTTCTAAAATTTCACTGACCGTGTCACACTCTTGCTTAAGTCTCCCTTCTGCCTCCGGGATAAAGTCCGAATTCATCATCATTGAACAGTTCCCCCCGCCCACCTGTGCAGCTTGATCAGCACACAGCGAGTAAGAGGAATAAATTGCAGCATTAAGCTATAATGGACGTGCATCTGTACTCCTAATGGACGTGCATTCGTACTAATCTTACCTTCCTGAGTCTTGGGCATCTTTCTCTCTCTCTTTTTTTTCTTTTGGCATCAAAAACTTGGGCTTCCAGGTTTTTAGTTTATCTTCATTTCTAAGGAGAAAAATAATTTGAGCAAGTAAATTGAACCATCAACACTTTATGGGCAATTATATTTTACCAAAAAAACTTATCTAGAAATAATATTCTGATAGTCTACGGCAAGGGCATGTAATCTCCGTGACCGCTATTCAACCCTCCTGCTGCAACTTTACAAAAACAAGTGGCAAGCCTTATTTGGCCCACGGGCCGTAATTTGCTGACCTCAATCTGTGATGATGCAAATTGGAAACCAGAAGCAAGAGATTGTCCTGTTTTATAATCACACTTCATCTCCTTTCTGAGCCTCAGTTTCTTTGCCTCTAAAATGTGAATGATGGTACATTTCACCATGAGTCAAAACCAAGCTGACTGGTGTTTAGCGTGAGTGGTGGGTCTGGCAGTGGAGGGTGTAGGGAAGGGGGAGGATGTGTATTATAGAAAGAAGTAATACTTTTTGATCACTGATGTGTTCGGGCTCATGCTAGGTATTTTATATATGTTCATTCAATTTTCACAAGAAGTACTGTAACATTCTTTTAAAGTAATCATCCATAGCTTTACAAAGTAGTTAATGGGTGATCAGAGAGAAGGAAATGAATGGTTAAACTGGTATGACCACTTGGGAAAAGAAGTTGTCATTTTCTTATGAATTTGTGCTCCCTATATCATTTGTATTTCTCTCCCCTTCCAACTGTATCTGCTAGAAGATGTCTCTCACATACTAACAGGTGACATGAATGTCTGTCTTAGTATGGCCTGTAAGTTCAAAGCATTAGGAAGTACCCCAATACTTAGCAACAAGAGAATGGATAAATGAATTGTGAGAGATATATATATATATATGACGGAATAGTATAGAAGAATAAAAATTAGTGAATTACAATGGAGAAAGATTTTATTTGAGGAATAGAAAGAAATTGCCGCATTCTGTATACAAAATACCATTTTTATAATGCTCAAATCCCAAATGAAATGATATTTTTATCATCGGTGTCTGAAAACACCGTTTTTGTTTTAAACAAGGAAATGAAAAATACAGAATTTAGGAGAATGCTCAATTCACAGTCACAAAGATGAGGAAACAACTCAAGTGCCCATCCACCCATGAAAGGATAAACTGTGTT